TCCTACTTACACCTCCCTCCCCCCCCCCACCCCCCCCCCCTCCCTCCCCACCACACACACACCCTGTCCCGATTTTTCACACTTGCTGTCTGGTCGCCCTACATTTTACTCATGTGGGTTAGTGCTGGTGGACTTCCCAGAAAGAGCAATTCTTTTAGGAGGCATTTGGATGAAGAGGGGATAGGGTGACCAGATGTCCCGATTTTATAGGGACAGTCCCGATTTTTGGGTCTTTTTCTTACATAGGCTCCTATTACCCCCCACCCCATCCTGATTTTTCAGGACATCCTGCTGTCTGGTCACCCTAAGAGGGGATAGGGGCTGTGAGGAAATTAGGAGGCAGTTTGAAACTTAAGGGAGGGGCATCTTGGAAGAAGGCAGGAACGAGAGGGAGAAAAATACTAAGGCATGCTAGTCCTGCCTCCCCTTTTGAGTTTCTGGTTGGCTGTGAATTTTTAATCTGGATGGGGGCTGCCACCATATCAGCAGTGTTGGTGGTGGTTTTGAATGGAACCAGTTTTATAATTTGTGGGGAATTTCCAGTTTCCATTCAATTTGGAAGAGAGCCTGAAATTTAACATAGGGCATTGGGGTTCTGCCATAATGAGACCTGATCAGGTAGAAGGGAGATGAGGTGATAGACAGCTGGCCCCAAATAACTTTCTGACCCCAACAATCCTGAAAACAAATAACACACAAGACCAGTTACCAGCTGAATTTTTTTTTTCTTGGCTGAGCAGTTTTTAGCACAAGTAGAATGGTTGCTTTTGTATTCTCCATAACAGATTCAGTGACTCAAATCTTAATTTCTTCTTTGCACTCTTAATAATTTGAGGGCTTTGGTTGAAAAGCCCACATACTTCAAATTGGGTTTTTTTATATCAGTGCTTCAATCACTTAGTACAGAAATGCAGTGAATTTTATACTGTGGAAGAAAGGGAGTTCTGTAAAGATAGGGAACAAGCAATTTTGGTAGTTGTAGCAGAATTTTCTTCTTTTCCTTGGTTCTGAGCTCATGGACTCAAGCAGAGCAGGTTAATAACTTATCAACCCAAGAATGTATTTTCCCCTTATATATGTAGTTGTAGGTGGTTTGCATCATAAGTAACTCACAGTAATATGACATACTACTTCTGCCCACAGCTTCCAGACTTCCCTCCTTGCAGTCTCAGAATTGCACAAATTGTTGTATAGAAGATCTAACAAAACACTTTATGATTTGTACCCTGCCCTCTGTAGTAAAGCTGTAATCCCAGCAGTGATTCTAATAGCATTACCATTAGGAAACGGAAGTAACGTGTACATGTTGGTTATAATTCCATTTTAGGATTCTAGTAATCTGGGGGGATTTTGTAATAACCATATTTTATATTTGTGAGAACATAAATCATACAAATGTAATCATGCAGTGGGAGGGGATTCTAAGGAGGATTTTGTGCATTGGTGGAGAGATGGGGTAAAGAGATAAGAATGGGGGCAATATGTCTTTGATTTAGTTGTTTAACCATGTGCTTTGTTAAATAAGGTACATAGATTTAAAGCTTGCAAAAACCTGTCATGGGATTCAGGTGATGTACAAATCCTTCAGGCTCTAATTTTCATGGCTTTATGATATCCTCAGGGTTCACCAATGGAATAACTGTACCGGTTCAGTATGTACATGTCAGGGCACGTACCGTAATTAATTATTTTCCTTTCGGTTCTCACTAATGCTTCTCAATCACTTGTACTGGAAATGGTTGTTTCAGGTGTTGATTATTTACAGCACCTGCAAACATATGTGTTTGCCTTCTATTGTTAACTTAAGTGGTTTATTTATAACAGTGCGTTCCGTATTGCAAATCTCTATTATGGTACATCATAATCAAAGGGAACCATCTATTCTTGTGCTTACATCATGAACATTTATATTGAGCTGCCTATTTTTTTCCTCACCCAAAAAAGCATTCAAGGGAGGATGAACTTTTTGTAAAACTATACAACTGCATTAATCTTAGACGCATTGAGGGCACAAACAATATAGTTTTGTTTATTTTCTAAACTATTAGTTTTAAAAAAACTTACCTTCCTATAGCAAAGTTTGAGCCTAAACATGCTTACAGTGTTAATTTGTTTTCCCAGCTTACTCTCAATCAAATGCATGCTTTTTTTCTTCACAAGTAACAATAACAGCATTGCCACCATCCTATTTTTAGTACTGTTTTTTCTGATGTTTCACTGCCAAGGTTGTAAAGAATGGCTCTGTCGAAGGAGAACTGTAAAGAGTAACAAGGGTTACAAGTGACTTGGTACCTCAAAGCCTTTTTCTTTAGCAACTTAAGGTTCCAGTCCTGCTCCCACTGAAATCAATAGGAGTTTTGCCATTGATTTCAAGGAGAATCAAGCCCTTAATGAGACAGCAGTCTCTTAGGGACAATTTAATTTGGGGTTGACAATAGCACAGATTAAAGAAGAATAAGTATTGGTTCTTTTTTGTTTCTGGTGGGAGAGACAGAAACATAACACGTTTTAGAGAATTTATTTTCTAATTTTGTAAGCCAAGATTGTCATGTATATTGCTGTATTTCGTATTCTTGGCTGTAATATTTCCTCTATGTGCAGCACAATATTAAGATGGAGGACTATGAGAAGTTCTGTGAAAAGCATCTTGCAAGGATCCAAGGAGAGTCGATTAAAAGGGAAACGTCTTCATCTGCTCAGAAGAATATCTCACTTATTAAATTCCATGGCATTCCTGTGCTTTCACCTCTGGTAAGATTCCCTTGCCAATTAGGCATTTGTATTAAAAAAGAAGAGGACAACCATTTTTGTTTAGTTATTTCTATCTAGATAACATATGACTAACCTTGAGTAGTACAGGAGACAAGTACTTGTCTGTAATGTTGAGGTTCAAAACCAAAATGAGGGTGGTGGGATAGGGGGATTGTCATGCAATGTAGTACAAGAGGATTTTGTCATTTGAACAAATTAGATTGTGGTGCCTTTGACTTGGGCAATGCCTGCTGGGTGGACTCTTTCTTCCCTTCCTGCTATACCCAGTGGTCTTTCTTCTCTAAAGGCTGCCCTTCCCCACTCAATAATACCCTCTTTTCTACACTATTCCACTCCCACTATACTTATCTTGCACCACATCTACCCTAGTGTATTTCATAGACAGAATTCTAATGGGTAGCAGTGGTGTAAGTTATAGTGTAAAAAGGGCATAGGTATTCTTTACCGCTATCATTTAACTGATCCTTGACACTACAGCTATTACTGGTGGAGCTGGACCAGTAGGAAATTACAGCTATAAAACTGACTAGCATAAACAAAGCCAAACTTGCAACACAGCTATATATGTTCTCTAGCAGGGCGCCTCCAAGGCTTTTTCCATACAAAAGGTTTTCTGAAATCTTCTCATTGATGTTTCTAGTATCAACAAAGCTACACTAGTTCAATGATGTGAGGATCTGAGAAAAGTGTCAGAGGAGATGCAGCTCCCTTTAAACTGTTTCCTACTCTGTTGTAGGACTCTGAGTACTCCAGGTTCTGATTTCACAAAATAAACAGGGTAACTTTTACTTTCAAGCCTTTTGTTCCTACTAACTACATTTCCTTACTCTTTTTTTAGATTATGTATGTATGTTTGTGTATATTTATCATGTGGAAAACCAGATAAATATTACTACTGAACACTTTCTTTTCAGTTGAAAAAAATGCTGATTTACCAGTTATTTAACATTATTTGGGCTTGTTTAAAATAGTACTGGATAACAAGAAATAACACCGGGAAAACACATGGGGTGATTAAAGAGAATTTAGCTTTGTAACTTCTTTTATTTCAACAAATGCTGTTTCTAGGACAAAGAAGGGAGCTAGAAGAAAGTAAACTAGAGCAGGAAGAGTGATTTATAAGGCCTTGGAAGGGACTTCTATATTTGGGTCTGAAATTCACCTATGGTATGAAGGGTCAGTGTGAAGATCCCACATCCCAGCAATTAGACAAGGCTTATGGATAGGAAACTGGGGTGAGAGTGGTCATTTGGGTGCTTGTGCACTCTGTATACACCATTCAAAAGATCTCTTTACCAGCTCTGCATAGTCTGGTGTGGAAGGCCATCCAGTGAGAGGGTCCACATGATCAACCATTGAGTAGATCCTGTAAAGCTAAATCTCTCTGCACTTCATACGCATATGCTCCAATTCTTGGGCTTTATGTGGGCTGAGTAAATTTTCCCTGTCTTACCAAAAAATATTTATGGTTAAAAAGAGGCTAATCTTCAAACTGCATAAAATCTCAACAAACATGTGCTCTCCCATTTCATATCAATTTTTAAAAAATATTTCTTATATTTAATTTTGCTTTTTGATAAAGAAAAGAAGTCACTGATACTTTGTTTTGCAGATGAGTCTTGAGAGAAAAAAGGAAATGCAGCAGGATAAACAAAAAGCACTTGATGTAGAGATCTGGAAACAGAATTCCAGGAAAAGAGCTTTACTGAATCGTGTTCAGGAGATCCTGGAAAATGTGCAGGCAAGTTTTTTAATTAGCTGTTGTATGAAAATGTCTTCTCTGCACATTCCAAGGGTCACTGAAGGCTAGTAAGATCCCTAATATAAACTAGCAGTTACTAGCAGTTTACTCTCTTTAGACCAACATTTGCTAGTAATTTATATTGTATGACCTGTTACAGTTACAGTGAATACATGTAATAGTTTTAAATAATGTTGTTAAGTTAAGTGTGGTCCGTGCTCAATTTGGTATTTGTAGAAATCAGCTAGTTTTTGTGGTACGGCTATTGTTTTCATAACACCATTTAAAATAGCTAGATAGATTTCCTTCAGACTGGTCACTACTATAAAAACTGTTAACTAGTGACATTACCGCTTTTCCCCCCTGAAACTAAACTTTGCAAAATAAAGAACAGTGCTGGTGTATGCTTTGAAATTTATATTGTAATTATCTTTTCTTGTTCAATGATGGGACTGTTCTTAGGGGTTAGACAGGCAGATACTTTAAATTAGTAGTTCTCAACGAGGGGTCCGGGGCCCCCTGGGGGATCATGAGCAGGTTTCAGGGGGGCCACCAAGAAGGTCTGGCATGAGACTTGTTGGGGCCAAAGGCAGAAAGCCAAAGCCCCACTGCATGGGGCTGAAGCCTGGTGACCCAAGCCCCACCACCCAGGGCTGAAGCCGAAGCCTGAGCAACTTAGCTTCGTGGGGTTCCCTGTGGCATGGAGCCCTTGGCAACTGCCCTGCTTGCTATCCCATAATGCTGGCCCAAAACCCAGTAGTTGTGGGCCGTGGAGTTATAACATGTTGGGGGGGGCTTAGAAAGAAAAAGGTTGAGAACTCCTGCTTTAAATTTTTTTTTTTTTCTAAATAGGCTTCTTAAAACCAGTGTAGTTTGGGTTTTTTAGTAGGATGTAATAAAGCCCTTGAACTAACCCACCAGCTAACTGAACACAGTTTGCATTGGGCTTAAGTTTTATTACTGAGGTGGCAAATGTAATCTATTGAGCTTCTTGTTTTGTTTACTAGTGTGTGCATGGAAACCATCACCTGACTTGGGATTTGAAAGGCAGACCAGGAACATATGTTGAGAATACAAAATAATGGTTTGCTTTCTTCTAGACCTCCTGTGGTTAATGGGCACTTAGGTTGATACAACTCTGACAACCTTTTATCCTTCAGTTTAAATGCCCCTATTGTCAATAGCTGCACTGTTACCTATACCTAAAGAGGACTATGAATTTATACAAAGGGGCAGACAATACTGAATGGTCTGTGCTCTTTTTATTTATTTATTTATTGTCAGTTGCTTTCCACAGAAGCAAGCTCTGGTTAAATAATAATGAAAACCAAAAAGGTTTTCTTGTATGTCCATAAATTTCATTGAGAATTATGTATGTACTCTTCTGCATAATGCTTCTCTTAATTGGCAATGGGTTAATCTGAGTTGAAGTATATTGAATGTTATTGCTGAAGTTATTTGAATTACATGTCAGAATAAACGCCAATGATACGTTTATGTAACATCCTATTGCCTGAACATTGTTCTTTAATTGGCAGCCATAATATTACTTAAAGAATATATGTTCAAATATCTGTTTTTCTTTTAATATAACTTTATCGTAGGTGGTTGGTCTGATGATAAAAACTTCTGACTAAACCAAATATTAAAATATATTTGTTGCGTTCTCCTCAAATTACTTTTGCCAGTTGGAAAGGTCATCTTCTGCATCGTAGACTAGTGTGGTTGCCATAGTTCCATTCAAGTTGGAAAATTCATGTTGCATTAAAGTGACAGCAATCTAACTTTATAGATCAGAAGGCATATGTACTTAATCTTAATTTGAAAACAGTAGGGCTTTATTACACTGAATTGACATAATAATTTTCAGGGTTTTTTTTTGCAGGTCAGAAAGGTGTCTAGTATGAGCGATTTGGATCAGTGGGAGCCTGAGAGTGGTCACTCTAATTCAGAATCAAAAGCCTCAAATGGCTTCACAATGCTATCAAACATGAATTTGCCAAGTTCTATTGAATGCTGTGGTACTACAGACCTTGAAAAAACATTGGAAATTATGCCAGCAGATACTGCTATCCAGGTTACATCAAGTGGAATAGACTCAGTTAGAGGCACAGAAGAACATATTCCTCCTGAACAAAGTGAGAGCAACCTCTCAGAAAACATTGCTTGCCCAAAGGTTACATCCCCTGATAAAACACAAAATATGACTACTTCAAATGCACATGTAAACCAAGAGCATACGGAGGTGCCACCAGCTGGTGAGGAAGTACCTGATCCATATGTAATGAGTCTTCAAAACCTTCTGAAAAAGTCTAGGGAGTACATAGAGAGAGAGCAAACCAGACGTAGCATAAGAAGTAATTCAAAAAGAAGTGTTAATGAAAGTCATTCAGATAAAGAAAATGATGCAGTTAAAACAAATGTGTCTGGGAAAGAGAGAGCGAGGTTTACAGGCAGGAGTTGTACTCCTCTGACACTTGATAAACCAAGTCTTAATAAATCAAATATTCTTCTCCAAGGTGCCTCTGCCCAAATAAATAGCGTGAGTACATCAGCTTCACCCAGTTTTTCTAAAGTGGATATACCTACCAGAGCTGGAACACCCCCAGTTTTGGATTCGGATTCAGATGAAGAATTTAAAAATATCTCTACCTTTGATCACGATAGTAGTATTGTCAGAAGCCTTACAGGTTCTTATGCCAAATTGCCCAGCCCAGAGCCAAGTATGAGCCCTAAAATGCACCGAAGACGCCCAAGACCTTCATCAATGGGACACATAGTTATCAATAACCCTGTGAATGCCTATGAATTAAGCCCTATAAACAAGGGAAGAGCAATTGACTTGATCATACAAGATGTCACTGACCAAACGAATGCATCTGAACCTGTGCCAAAATTCACTGCTGACATCACTGCAGTTTGTTCTAGCAAAGCTCATGTCAACAAGAATTCTTCAGAGACGTCAAATCACATGTGTCAGCATTCCATTAGTCAACTAGAGAGTAAAGGAATGATGGTGTCTTCCATAATGGAGGGAAAACTGGATAGTAGAAGGCCATTCAAAATGGACAGTACTACTTGTACTGCAACTCCAAAATTGCATGAGTCGTTTGCAGTCAGTCAGTCGATGGTGACTCAAAAGTTCGTAACTATGAATGGAATCAAGCCAGATCGTTTATTAGAAAAGACCAAAAGTAATTCACCCGTGGAACTCAATAAATCTTATGATGTAGAAAATCCATCTCCATTACTGATGCAAAGCCAGAATAAGCATCAGCAAATGGATACTCCAAATGTTTCTTCTGGAAATGAACATTTTGTAGAAAATGGTTTCGAAAAAGTGAAACGTAGGCTTGATTTGGATATTGATAGCTCACAGAAAGAGAACAACCCATATGTTTTAACAGATGGAACAGAAGAACAAGAGAAGTGGAGGTTGCAAGAGCGAAGATGCCCCATAGGATCTGTTTATGGTAACAAGAATGAAACCTCAGGCAGTAGTACCAACGGTGAGATAACATTTTCTGTAGTCAGGCTTTTTCCAAGTTGGAAAGTTATCTTTAGTTAGAAATGTCATTTTTAGAAAATAGGCCACTGTCTTTCATCTGCACCTTAGTTTTTTGAGTATTCCCCTAGCTTGTGCATCATTTATGATAAAATGACAGGATACATTTCTGTATTTTTAATTCACTAAACATTAAGTAAGGCCCTGTAGTAAACCAAGTTTTTCTGAAAGTCTTCTGAAAGCTGCTATTGAATGACCAAAATGATCTTCTGTATATGAAAGTTGCCTCATTAGATGCAAAGCCTTGTACCTCCTACTTGATAATGAATGATACAGGAGTATGTGCTTAGACATTTTCATATAGCATATACCAGAAAAGGTATTCGTTTTCTTGTTATATAAAACATATTTTTATCTGATCTGCTTGCTTAAAATCACCATTTGCTGCCTTAACTGGAGTCTTTCCTCTTTGTATTGTAAAGTTTTTTGATATTGTTCTATTGAAAATTGTTGTATATAATTAGATTAGAGAGATTTAAAAAAAGAAAAATGAAAGGCCACTGAACAGAAATTAAACAATCATGCCAATAAAGGCGCTTGCTATATCCTGGTGGAACATAAAAATGAAAGGAGGAAAACTCAACTGAAAAATAATCTAAAGAAAATTTCACAAGAGCATGCATGGGTTTGTGGGATGTGTTTTAAATATTCACCCAGTTTTAATCTGAAACCTCCAAAGAGACTGGAGAGATTCTAGCAGCACAGACTCATTGTGCATGTATGGGGACACTTGTGAAATGTTTAATAACAGAAAGAAAATCTAAGTGAATTCTTGTGTGCCAGGGAAAGGTCAATAGGGCAACTAGCATGAGTATGGTGAGCAGGACTATGGTAGAGCAGTTTTTTGAGTTCTTAAAATGTAAGAAAACAGATGCACACTGCAAATAAAAACATACTTGCATTAAAATATCAGCTGCAAGTAACTTCAATATTACCAGGATTGGTGTTCTTCCAATTCAAGAATAAAAATGTCATGTGTATGTCTGTAAAGGAAACTATCAAAACGAGTGGAATAAATGTTTTGTTCACTCAAGCAAGTAGTCATATTCTTTTCAGAGCTAGTCTCTGCATGTGACCTCTTGAATCTGGGATTGGTTAGTGCCATTTATACTGTCCCGTCCATGGATATGCTGATCTCAGAAACGTGAAATATGAAATAAAAGAAAAATATTCTACTTCATGTTTTTGTGGATATACCAACGGTGCTGTATAACACCCAATGGAAAAATGTATTGAAAATGTAGAGATCTGTTTATCTAGCTTGCAGAACACTTAGAAAATGTAAGACTATATGATTAATGCTTTATGATGCATGTATTTTTTTTCTTTTCAGAAGAAGAGATTTTGAAAAATAAACTCTTGGCTTTTGAAGAAATGAGAAAGAGACTTGAAGAGCAGCATGCACAACAACTATCAGTACTGATAGCTGAACAAGAGAGAGAACAGGAGAGATTGCAGAAGGTGAGGGAACAAGATAAGAAAATGCTAAAATGAGGTGTTTAGGGTTAATTGCTCAACTTGCTATTTTAGTATAAGGGGCTGAAACAATATATTATTTCTCTGCATATCATACTCAAGATGGATATTTAATAAATCTGTCTGAATTTGTGGGAGCTCTTTGAAGAATATGATTGTGTGAAACCTTCGCTGAGCTTCCATTCTGGTATGGCTAGCAGCATTTAGAGCATTGAGAAAACTCATGCGGCAAAAACAGGAGGCTTAGGATTATTCTCTGTTTTAGTATAGAGATGAAAGGGTATTCCCAGGAGAGAGATGTGTCATAACTATACAGGGAAGGGTAACAATCCTCCTGTATACAATACTATAAAACCCCTCCTGCCCAGAGACACCAAAATCCTTTTACCTGTAAAGGGTTAAGAAGCTCAGGTAACCTGGCTGACACCTGACCCAAAGGACCAATAAGGGAACAAGATACTTTGAAATCTTGGGGAGGGGGAAGGCTTTTGTTTGTGTGCTCTTTGTTTTGGGGGTTGTTCGCTCTTGGGGCTAAGAGGGACCGGACATCAATCCATGCTCTCCAAATCTTTCTGAACAAGTCTCTCATATTTCAAACTTATAGGTAACAGCCAGGCGCAAGGCATGTTAGTTTTATCTTTGTTTTCTCAACTTGTAAATGTTCCTTTTGCTAGAGGGTTTACCTCTGTTTGCTGTAACTTTGAACCTAAGGCTAGAAGGGGTTCCTCTGGGCTCTTTGAATCTGATTACCCTGTAAAGTTATTTTCCATCCTGATTTTACAGAGATGATTTTTACCTTTTCTTTAATTAAAATTCTTCTTTTAAGAACCTGATTGATTTTTTTCATTGTTTTGAGATTGAAGGGTTTTGAATCTGTGTTCACCAGGACTAATTGGTGAGGGAAAAGGGGTGTAAGGACTTGGGCGGGGGGAGGAATTAGTCTCAAATCTGCCCAGGAAAGGGGGGGTTAGAGACTTGGGAAATATTTGGGGAAAGGCAGAGTTCCAAGTGGCTCTTCCCTAAGATTTGGAACACACTTGGTGGTGGCAGCTTACTGATAACCTAAGCTGGTAAATAAGCTTAGGGGGCTTTCATGCGGGTCCCCACATCTGTACCCTAGAGTTCAGAGTGGGGAAGGAACCTTGACAAGATGTATAATTGATGAATGCTTTCATATCAAACTGCAAAAGGCAAGAGATGCAATGGGGACTTGGATATCCTGGAAAAGCTAGACAATTACTGCACAGTCAGGTATTGTCTTGCATAACATCTTCATGATATATTAAAATAGCCAAAAGGGTTAGGAAGCAAGGTGTTTATATTTGGGAAAGGCTGAGCTGCTGGATTTCTTGCAGTATATTTATTCAGCACATCTGTTTTAAGTGCAATTATATCATTTGTTACATAGAGGTTAGTGGAAATTAAGATGCCTTTATATCAGTGATTTTCAACCTGTGGTCTGCGGACCCCTGGGGGTCCACAGACTATATCTAAGATTTCCAAAAGGGTCTGCACCTGCATTCGAAAATTCTTAGGGGTCTGCAAATGGGAAAAAAGTATTAGTTAAACTGCCTATGTTGTATTGAAGCTTATGCCAGGATACAATTGCTTGCTCAAAATGTATTTAAATTCCACTATGTAGAATCAAAGATCTGGTTTTATTTCAGACTTTTAATCTGCAGGAGATAGAAGAGCAGGAGAGAAGGTTAAAAGGAAAGAAGAGTGCTACAGCAGACCTAGAAATACCCAAAATGACCATTAGCAGTGGGATGGAACAGCAGTGGAGAAAAATAAGCGAAAGTGGCTTGTTGGAAACAATGCTGACTCAAGTGGAGACAATCCATAACACAAACTCGAACAGCACTGGTAAAAGTAGGGGGCAAATAATTATTAAAAGTTTTACTGGGCACTTTAAAGCAGAATATACCAAATGTACTGGCTGGTTCATGGTATTGTTGATGGTAGCATCTCTGCTTCTTCCGTGGTTGGAATCCAGTCTAGGCAGGAAGTACTGAAAATTAGCACCTTACAGCTGCTGTTTAGCAGTCTATGTAAAATTTATTAGTGGTCTTAGCAAGCTTATGTCCACTTTGCAGGGTCAGAAACGACTACTGTAACAAAATTCTGAAAGTACCTTCCTTGGTCATATGCCTTTTTTGGATAAGATCTGGTATCATTTTATTATCTGACACGCCATCTACTGGGGACTTTTTCACACACTAGCATAGTGGTGGACCTTTTCCCACTTTGATTATGATATTTCTACATTTTGAACAAGCATAGGTGACATAAGAATATAGTGCATACAACACAAGGGAAAATGCTGGCAGCAATTTTAGTCCAATATATATCCCGATGTAAAGTAAATTCAAGAAAGATTTGGTTTTAATATAGAATGTTAGCTGTTCTCTGTACATTTAAAAAAAAACAACATTGCAGATGTCATAAAATTAGATTTGTGTGTGTGTGTGTGTGTGTGTAACAGGTGCATGACGTGTAAGTATTTGAATAGTAGTTTGTGTGCACAGGCTTCCTGTTTAGTACTCATTTGTTTAATCATACATTCTGCTTTCATATAGGTTTTGCCAACACTACCATGCCCAGTAGTTTTGGTTCAACAAATGAAGCTCCATTCTACCTCTGGGGACCATCTGGTAGTGGAATGTCAAAAATATCAGCATCCAGGCTTATTAGGGCCAAAACCAGGTGGTCTCAGGTATGAAAATAAATTGACTTAAGCTTTTCTTTTTTTTTTTTTTGCTTAACCATCTAATTCTTTCAGGACGCAGGTATGCATTAAGAACTTCCAATCCAAAACTACTAATTGATCCACAGTTCTTAGATGGATTTGTACTAGCAGACACAAGAAGAGAGCAGAACAATATTTTTCTCATTACAGTACAGACAAACTAATCGTGTAACCACATCTTTATTCTGTTAACCAAATTAATACTGGGGAGTTCTGGCTAGGCAAAGTGTATTTGGCAAAATTTAATACCTGTCTGTTAATACAAGATAGCTGTACAGACATTTTTGTTAAACAAGTAGCAATCAATTTAACTTAATTTATTTTGAGAAATTAAAATTCAGAACTTTTGTTGGACTTGATATTAAAGCATAGAAAATCTCTTAATTTTAATCTTTTTTTTCCCCTCTTCTCTTAAAAGGCCACCAATCCAGAGATGCAAGTGAAGTTCAGTAAGATCACTGCCTTGGTAAAGGGATTTCTGACTCGTAGGCTCATGCAAACAGAAAAATTGAAATATCTTAGGCAAACTGTAAAAGTAAGGCGATAACTGTAAAGATGCTTGCTTTATGCATTTTTTCCACCTTCCTCCTGTTGGTTTCTGCCACTCCCTTTCAGCTGACAAATAAGATCTAGACTTGTCACCAGAGCACAAAATTCATTTTACTTTGAGAATTAACTAATGAAGTTTACTACATAAGTAATATAGCTCTATCCTTTTTAGAGAATGAATGAACTACCCAAAACATAGTTGTGTTAATTATTGTATGCTGTGTGCATACCACTTTTGATAGTGTCCCAACAGTACCTTTTCCTGTGCCTTTTTGAAGTGACCTATAAAACCATTCTAATACAGACTGAAGTTGAATAATTGTTTCTTAGATATATTCTTAATTATCTAGCATGCAAACTTTCAGTTGAAATGAACCTTGCATAGCAGAATATTCCTTATTCCAACTTTCATATCTGCTGTCTTAAAACTTTTTTTAATTGAACTGTATTTTTCCTGGATCCTGAGTTAGTATGGAGGTTTCCTGTGTCAAACTTATGCTGTGATTTTGCAGCTTTCTAAATAGTCAAATAGTTAGCTGCTAAAATTAGAGGCATCATCTAAGGTATTCTATTAACGTCTTCAATCTGCCCCTCTGTCCTTGATTGATTTCATATGAGGAGAGGAAGCTAAGGACAAGGGAGTGGAGAAGGGAAAAGAGAGATGAGTGATTTACCCCATCGCTCCTGTTGCTCGGCAAGGCAGCAGTAGGGAAAGATGGTGAAGTGGAACATCATCTCCATTAATCTGAATATTTCTTGGGTCTAAGGTGGTATATTTAGTATTAGTTGCTCCTGTACAGCACAAGTGTGGAGAATGTGTGTGTGTGTGTGTGTGTGTGTGTGTGTGTGTGGGTACAAAGTAAAAGATCTTAGACAGGATACAGCATATAGGGGAACCCAATCTTGCAATAGTGAGAATGCTAAGTTACTTCTGCTTAGTTACAGGAGTAAGGCCAAAGAGGAGATTGTCTAAGTGCCCCATTTTTTTTTTTAGAGAATAACAGTTAAATCCATGTCTGTTTAGCTACCCCCAGTCTCTGCCTACACCAGGAATCGGCAACCTTTGGCACGCAGCCTGCCAGGGTAAGCCCCCAAAGGATGTGCTGGCCGCTGCTGCCCGCAGTCCCCATTGGCCTGGAGTGGCAAACCGCAGCCACTGGGAGCTGCGATCGGCTGAACCTGCGGACCCGGCAAGTAAACAAACTGGCCCAGCCCACCGGGGGCTTACCGTGGTGGACTGTGTGACAAAGGTTGCCGATCCCTGGCCCACACTATCCTTTTCCTCTGAACTTTTGAGAGTAAGGGAGCAGATGTATAAATGGCTTGAGATTTACTTCCACTCAGTGTGAAAGATTAAGCGTAGTACATCATCTTTTTATTTTTTTAGGATACTATGGAGTTCATAAAAAATTTTCAGTCTGAAGCTCCCTTAAAGAGAGGAACTGTTTCGGCGCAAGATGCATCCCTACAAGAAAGAGTGATGGCTCAAGTAATGTATATTCAAAGCTTTTCTTTTATAATTACTTCATCATTGTAAAAGAGAGAAATTATTTTATCTTTGACAGAGATATCTGAAGACTTCAGAGGGTCAATATTTGAAATGAAATTTTAACTATGGGCATTTTGTGCTGACACAGGGGTTTTTAAAATGTAGTTTCTCCAAGAAAGCTTCATGAAAGCTTTGATTTATTTCAGCTGCGAGCTGCGCTGTATGACATCCATGATATATTCTTTATAATGGAAGTATCTGAAAGAATGAATATTCTGCGTCATGATCGTGAAGTTCGCAAAGAGAAAATGCTGAGGCAAATGGTATGTTCCAAGTTTGTATCCAGTAAGAAACACTTTAAAACTAGGAAAATGTATATTTTTGTCCCTAGTTAAGTATCCGTTGTTAGTGATTGGAGTAAGATGCAGATTTTTTTTTCCTGGCCCAGTAAGAAATATAAAACCTTAGCTTTTGAAAACAATCTTCCTGATAATGTGTGGCTTTAGCTGTGGTGCTCCAGTAGTTAAACTTGTTCAGAAAGACTCCAGTCTACAGTAGGGACTTGGGGCCTGGATGCTTCCAAAATGTGTGTGTGTGTGTGTCTGTCTGTCTTGGAGAGAGAGGAAAGAAATGATGGAATTATTTTGATAGCAAGAGAAAAGGTGCACTTAACTTTTTTGTTGTTGTTGTTGGTTTTGTTATTTTAAATTAAAGTTTGGAATGTAAAAAAAAAAAAAGCTACATCACCATGTAAACTAAAGAGTTGCATTAAATCTTTTAAAGCAGATTTTATAATGAAAAATGCCAATCTTTTAATTAAGGTGGATCAGATGCGGCAACTGTAATAAAAGTAATAACAAATATTAGTATCCACTTCTGTGTTTTTGTAGGCTAAAATAAAGACTCCACGAGAGAGGGTGACACTTTCAACAGCTACACAGAAGTCTCTGGATAGGAAGAAGTACATGAAGTATGTATGTATTTAATATTTTTTTGGTAGAGAGAATTGGAAGGAAGGGAGTTGTTGTTATTTGAACACAGCTGAATCTTTTAGCAAAATACTTTCGTACAGATTTTGGAAGACTCTCACATTTGCTAGAAAGTCTTTATATGTAAGATTCCTTTTTACATAAGTGTATTGAATTCTATTTCTTTACAATGGCATTTTTTATATAGACATTCAATATATATTTGTTCCCATGCTGAAAACAAGATAAACACTCCTCATCTTGTTCTCTGTACCTACTGGCTGTTATCTAATTTTCTCTGAAGTCTGATCACCAGAATCATGGTTTACATTTATCATTGTCCAAATACCCTCTGTATTTGCTGTAACAACTCAAGTGAATCACATTACTGCAGTTAATGGTGTTGGTGACGTTATCAGGTGACATTCCTGCTGAGTCAGCAGTAATGACCCAATGCCACAGCATGGCTGTAGGGGACTCTCTCCCATCTGAGATACCATTCTTTGGATAAGATAAAATTTGCTTGCTTGTAACCAATAAAATCTATAACTGCTTTTGGAAAGATTAGTGGTTGCCCCACTACCATGACTATATTGAATTTAGGTAGCTGCATCCTGCCTACAAAAATTTCCTCTAGTTCTCAATTGATATAGTATTCTTCACTCTGTCCTGAGCTGTGTGTAATGTCGCTGTGTGCTGTTAAGATGCTGTTTCAGTGATGAATGAAGTGACTCCTGTGTGACTAGTCTGTAGTTGGTTTGCAAAGCGTGAGTGCTGTATTTTTATGTTGTTTTCATGGCTTTCTCCAAAATTAGCTGTGTATGATAAGAGATGCATGCATGTTGGTTGGAGTGCCTTATGGCATAATGGAGACAATTGCTTCTGTTTGTGTTGCAGTTGGAAAGTGTAGTCTGTACTGTACATAATTTTGCCAAAAGAGTGGCAATAATACTGTTTAGGTGGCTTCCTTTTATTTTTATAGCTTCTTGTCTGACCATTTTTATAATTTTTTCTTAAGAAATGCTTTAAAAGTATTTGGATACTTACACTTTTGTGTTTTGTTAGGGCTGCAGAAATGGGAATGCCAAATAAAAAATTAATCATAAAACAAAATACTCCTGAAGCCAGGTCAGTGAAAATTACTTTTTTGTAATTTACACTAAAATGTTCTTAACTGTTTTTTATAATGCTAGGTCTGTTGACTGCTTGCTTGCCATCAGCTAGTCACCTGTCGTCATTGCCCCTGGGTAATGAAGAATGCACAGGGCTAAACTATTATGAAAAGTTATTAACTTGCCTACAGTTAATAAATAGTACTTTTCCAGCTTCAGTTTCTCAAAATTAATATCCTCAAACATGACCTTTCTTGTCTGTGTTTATTTCACTCACTCCGTCCAGTTCCCAAGTTTCTCAAGTGTTAGATGCAGTGGTAGCATCTTTAAGCAAATGCTTGATGCTATTTTTAAAACAGTATGATATTGTTCTCTCCACTTCCCCAGACATGAACTTTCATGTAGCGAGCTGTAGATACTTCTTAAAATGGGGGTTATTTAAAGAGACCCTCAAGCTTCAGTAGCATTCTTGCCTCTAGATCGTAAAGAGAGAGAGGTTCATGTCTCGGATCTGGCCACTATCTTATACTCTGTATTAATAAACTAGTACTGAACTGTTAGAGGTGCTGCCTTCCAGATGAGGTCTGTCTACACTAGAGAATATTGGCTAATATCAGTTCAGATGCTTAGAATGCTTGTAAAATAGCATGCATACATCCGTGCACAAAACATTTCATAGGTATGCCCTCTACTGGTATGATTGCATCATCTCTGAGCAAATCTTAAAAATAGCTTTGCCCGCTTAATTTCAAACTGTGTCAGTGCTAGTTTAATAAGAAACCTGAAGCACTGCAGCAGTACCGTTTCAGTGGGGCCTGCCAGGACAATCCCATGACAACAGCTAAGAGCCACTGGCCATGTCATTCCCAAACATAGTTATACAAAAAATTTAATTAAAAAAATTACAAAATCAAGATCTGTCTTCCAACCAACGTATGAAGTTGTTGATGCTATTTATTGTGAACCGCAGGCCAGTCTGTCGAGCAGCAGGGGCACGTTATGGCCTCTGCCATGGCACGTGTGTAGTTCTGCCCCCACAATATGTGAGTGTTGATCTACAAGCAGAACCAAATAATTCAAATAAATCACTGGGCGGGGAAAGGGGGGGCAGGAGGGCAGCATCATAGTAATCGGTGAAAATATTTATTACTCGTATGAACCTGCTCCAGGTTTCTTATCGGAAGCCTTGTGATAAGTACCACAACTCAGAGCCACAGCAAATGTTGGAGGAGGAGCTGTGTGTGGGTCTGCTATACCAGGGTAATAAGTGTATGCACACAGAACTGTTGCAATAACAATTGGTGCTAGAAATGCATAGCTGCTATGTTTCTAAATTGAAACAGTTCAGTCCTTTAGTATAGACACCTGTAAAATAGATTCCTTCTTTCTGTCTCTGAAGGCTATTTCAGTGCTTTTCTTGAGTTTTAATGGTTGCCACGCATAACTGGATGCTCTCTGCATTAGCAACATGTAACCAAACACTGTGCTGGCTTCTTTGAGATACTTGGAATATGGAAGGCAATATATAAAAATCAAACTTATTTAGAAACAAAATAAACAAAACTAATCCAGATTTTGTTTTTAACAGAGTACTTCAGCCAAATCAAGGACAAAATACTCCAATTCATAGGCTTCTTTGCAGGCAAGGGTAAGAGTACTGTATGTGTTTTAATGCACAACTTAAAGGTTGAAAGCAAATGCAATATCTGAGTCAAATAATTTCCATGTAAGATCTACATGCATCAATGCAAATATTGTTCAAATGCAAAATGGCTAACTTACAATTCATGGTGAGACAGTTCTTAAAGTTCCTAGCTTTTATTTTTCTTATACTGTAAGGGAAAAATTGCAGTGGTCTCATTCTGTTTTTCATTTACACTGTGTTCTGACATCTGTATTTGTAACATTCATTCCATTAAGTTTTGCTTCCACTTCCTAAAAATGAAATATGATTTTATAAGAAACACATACCTCCTAAATAATGCAACATGTACTCATTAGATCGGTTTCTTGAATAGAGTAGTAAGAAAAAAAGTGTGCATTGGAGAGTTTCTCCTATTAAGGTATATGCATAATTCCTAGTAATGTTAATAGGAGTTTCACATGTGCACATTCTGGAAGAGACGCTACTGTATCACTTACAGACGTTTTCATACCAAGAACAGTTTGATAGTGTTTTTCTTTATTGGATACAATCTTTGGATTTTAATGCAAGTGACTTATTAACTCTTTTATATTTAATTAGAACCCCTAAGACCTCAATGAAGGGGGTTGAGCAAAATAGAAAGAAGTCCTCAGAAAGCAGAGTGCCTAACAAGGCAACTTCAGGTGTGTAGAAAATGGGTTCTTGGATCTCTTTTAAAATGAAGATATGAGTGAGTTACTAGTATCAAGAAAATTTAAATGGGATATCTTGTTTTCCTTTTCTTGCTGCAGTAGCTTTGCTATAATACACTTTGACTAAATCAACCATCTTTCTATATATGTTTATAAAAACAAAAAATATGGGTAACTTAATAGTACATTTTCAAATTCTATAAAAGACATATACAGTTTTTTAAGATAACTGCTTAAATTCCTTCTCTCACCAAATGCCTGATCGCCAAAAATACGCAATTTTTAGTAGTATATGTAAAAACACACTAATCATTAGAGACCTACAGAACTAGAGTAGCTAGATCTAGACTCTGACTCAGATATTTATATTTTTATGTCATTTATTCCTATTTCTTAATCTATGTAAGACTTGTCCTCAGAGGACATGACATGAATTTTCAGAAAATTTACCAGCAGGAATATTCTATGAATTCCTCACTTTAAAACATCTTGTAGAATGCTATTCTATATATTAGATATTAAGAAAGAAGATTTATGATCCTTTTTCCTCTGATATACCCAATGCTGTGCATGTCAGTTTTAGATGAGGGGTAGTCCAAGTTCCAGATATGGAGTTTAGAAGTTGGTTGGTTGATTTTTAATAAAAAGGGATTTGGACAGAATGCCTAGCTATTCATAGATGTGGTTTTGTCCATTCCATGCCTTAACAAAACATTAGTTGAAGCAAACGTTTTCTGAGACTTTTCCACTTTAAAACTTGAATGTAAACAGTTGTGATTGATTAAAATGAAGTAAAAGCTTTTTACTCAATTGGTCTTTGTCATCTACTACAGAAATATGATTTAGGAACTTAATTCATGTAACTCACTTCTAAAATTAATGCATTTATATGGCTGGGTACCTATTAAAAATTAGGAACATCTGGGATCCTATTCAGGATGGAAAACCATAATTCTTTGGGATGCAACAAGTGACCCATAGAACTCTGTATGATTTTTCTATCCAATCTTGTTGCATATAGAGGGAAAATTCAAATTCAAACTCCCCACCCACTGCTCGGATACTAACTATTTAGCTAACGAGAGCTGACAAAAACACAGGTCAAGGTAGTCAGGAATTGTTCAGACTTGTAAGTTCACTCAATTAAAATTACAGAAACCATGCTCTGAGGAGTCAATATTCTGGCCTGCTTGCTTTAGCTAGTCGAAACTTTCTCATGACTTGGATATCATGACATTTTGATACTCAGCAGTGAAAATAATCCCATTTATGACAATGGCTCCAAATTTTATCTGGCCTGCCTTCATGGACCTTTGATGAATTGCTGTAAAATTTCTGAATGTCCCATAATAGCCATCTATTTTTAACATCAATAGTTGTTTCTAACTGGCTATATGGAGGTGTGGTTTTAGTTATGTAGTATAACTATCTCCTTATTTCATCTAGAGTGTTTGAGCATCAATGTTTCCATGACATTTGTAGTATCAGCACTTCCATGTTCTTCCAAATACAAATAATAAATCAGGCAATATCCATCTGTACTAAATTAACAGCAGTGCATTGTGAGATCATTATCTGGAAGAAGCTCTAACAAGTGTAAAAGAAATAATCTGAATATTTGTGCAGTATTAAAAAAGCTTAAACTTGAATTAATACATGTAAATAAAACTTGAATTATGTACATATTTGAACTAAATTGAATAGTTTATCAAATTATTACCAGAATAATTAATTATTCAGTTATTAAAAAAAACCCACCCTGAGTTTGGAATATAAGACTATTTTCAAAAGATGCACTGTAAACTGTTTAATGTGGGCGAGGCAACAAATTGTTTCCAGGGAGTGGTCATGCCCAAATAAACTAAAATCTTTATAAAAAAAATTAAATTATACTGAAAGCTAAACAAATTCATGTACGTTCTTGTATTTTATCTTACATTTGTGAGTGTGTTCCTGAAAATGAAGACTCAGCACTCGCTTGCTCTAGGCAGAGGATAGGCATATTTCTTCCTGTAACTCTGCTAGTGCATGTCAGTACTGACCTACAACATCCCTGCTGTTTTAGTTTTTGACATTCCTTAAGCACAGACTGAAAATGATGTGGTGGCTTTGTTGGGGCTAGGATGTGGCAATCAGACTTAATCTTACTTCTGACCCAATCGGAACTTGAATGCATATCACTAGAAGTGAAATACTCATGTACCAGCCCATCTACTCTTTCCTCCTGTGTGTGTGTGTGTGTGTGACTTTGTCATTTGAAATTCCATCTCCAAAGCTTGGTCTTCCTCTCTTAATTACAACCATTGATTGAATATCTTCTCCCCTCTAGTGTACACAATAATTTTTCATTTAGGACCACTAATTGAACACTTCTGTTTTTGTTGTGTCCTTCTTTTGCCTTTAATATTGAGCTTTGGAACAAAACTCAATTTCAAATTAAGTGCCTATGCCTTTTGCTAGTGAGTTTAACTCCTCTAATTCTGGATCTACGTGCCCGCTTCTGTCTTGGTTAAGAGAAAGGGTTGGGTTTTTTTGTTTTGTTTTTTAAACTGGAACATCTAAACATACGGGGCATGTTTTGAAATCTAGAGTTGCACTTCTGCTGAACATGGCTGGTACGCTTGACACCAGAGAAACAATAAATAGCTTTCTACTTTTTTCATCAAGTATGTAGATTGGGAGTATAGACTAAAAGCCAAAACCTTAAGGAAATGTCCTAGAGAAATTACTAGAAAAGGAGAAACTTTTTATAGTTTTGTTTTTGCAGTTCTCTATCTATCACATACAATTCTATATTAACGTCTGTGTATCTCTTATATATATCTCCCTTGAATTCTATACAGGGTTAAACTATAAAAAGATGAATTTGTAATAAATTTCTGTGGACTCGTACTAAATTTCTATATAGCCCTATTGGTTTCATTCTTACTGAATTCTGTAATCCTTTTCCATAAGGATAAGTAAAATCTTTCTATATACTCTGTTTCTCTCTCACATACACTCATAGCTATTAATTGTTGTGTACATTAATTTTAATGGGAAATAAGACTGCTTTTTGTTTTTTAAAGGTAAAATCCAGATCATTGGAGAATATAGTCAAAACTGTCAGTTTATTTCCTGAATGTAGGCTTTGATCCATGTAATGTGCACATGAGGGTTGAGAGAGTAGTGTTGAGGCACCGATAAGGCACCATGCTCATCAGCCCTGTTACTTCATCTTATTGAACCATGGGTAAGCTGAGGGGTGCAGGTATTGAATGTTGCTGGATCGGCAAGAACATTTTTGTGACGAGGTACTGATGTGGTAAGACCTTTAGAATTTCCGAAGCTGCCTTGCTCTGTTTCTTCTAAGTGCAGCTCTTAAGCACCTATAAGTACCCACTTCTCCTGGCTGCCAGTCGGAGTAACAGAACATACTAAAAATGGCATCTACTCATATCATCCTATACAGTGGATTGCGTGCACTTTCTCCTGGTCTTTCTCCACTCCCCTTCCCACCCTTTCAGCTCATTGCTGAGCACTGTGCATATTTTGCTACACAGATGTCTGGAAAATGTTGAGGTCTAGCCCTTTGCCCAGCAGCTTGCAACAACTGAGCCGTTAATCTTGAAACATGCTTGTTCCCAGCATGATGGAATTCTTCCAGATTCACGGAATTGAGATAACTTCCTTTGCAGAGGCATAAGCCAAAATGTGACTCAGATCCTTAGTTGTAAGAAGGACTCTGTTTGATGGCTTTTTGTCAGGGTTCCCGCCCCACTCTGAACTCTGGGGTACAGATGTGGAGACCCGCATGAAAGACCCCCTAAGCTTATATTCTACCATCTTATGTTAAAAACTTCCCCAAGGCACAAATTCCTTTCCTTGTCCTTGGATGGTATTGCTGCCACCACCAAGTGATTTAAACTAACATTCAGGGAGGGGCCACTTGGAGCCCTACCCCCCCCCAAACCCCTTCACCCCCTTTCCTGGGGAGGCTTGAGAATAATATACCAACCAGATAGGTTAACAAGGTGAGCACAGACCAGACCTTTGGGTTTTTAGGACACTAAAAACCAATCAGGTTCTTAAAAGAAGAACTTTACTTTTTTATAAAAAAAGAAGCACCTCTGTAAAATCAGGATGGAAGGTAATTTTACACGGTAATAAAAAGACTTAAAACACAGAGGATTCCCCTCTAGGCTTAACTTTAAAGTTACAAAACAAGAATAAACCTCCCTCTTAGCATAGGGAAAATTCACAAGCTAAAACAAAAGATAATCTAATGCATTTCCTTGCTATTACTTACAATTTCTGTAATTTTAGATGTATCATTTCAGTAGGAGCTGGATTACCTGCATGGTCTCTCTCTTTTGTCTCAAGAGGGAACACACAGAGAGCACAAAGCTTCCCTCCCCCCCTGGTTTGAAAGTATCTTCTTTCCCCATTGGTCCTTCTGGTCAGGTGCCAACTAGGTTATTTGAGCTTCTTAACCCCTTACAGGTAAAGGAGGGATTTTATGTTACCCGTAGCTGTATCTTTAGATAGAGAGAGAGAGAGAGAGAGAAAATAAGAACACGAGAACGTAAAATTCTGGTTGCGAATTTCAACTCAGAGACCTAGGATTTGAGTATTCTCTGACTTGTATATTTTCCCTATCTTTGTTCTAGTCTGTTTAGGTCTATAGCCTCCTCCTTGACATGGATGTACCACCTCAGGTAGTTTTGCTAGATACACTAGAGCTAAAGGGAAAACATACCCTCTTAGTGTATTTCCACCTCACCTTTTCCTATAGTAAAACCTGTTAGAGGAGCTTTGGGGAAGAAATCTCCAAGAGGATCTCCTCAGAGTTCCTTCTCTTGTTTGTTTGGTGGTGGCAAGAGGAGGGTTTGCGTCCTCACCCCCTTGAAATAAACTGGATGATGTTGCAGGAAGCCAGGGCCATCTTCATGAAGGTGCTCTATTTTTCCATCCCCTCCCTCATCTCCATTGGAGCTGTGCTACCAGGATGACAACTTGTCCGCAGCTGTCTTAGTGAAAGTGGGGTTGAAGGGAGAGTTGATTTGTGGAAACTAAAATAGAGCCATTGGGAGAAGAATGTGCACCTTGCTCCTGGTCTACCAAATGCTTCCCTCTGACCTGCTCAGGCTTCACTCCTCACCCTGCGTGGACTCCATGGGGTGGGGTGAAAGGGATGCTGTGGAAGGGCTGAACCCCTGTTCCCTTTTACATGCAGAGGGTTTCCTCTGTACATGGATATTTGGGGGTGGGGGAGATCAGGCCCATAAATAACTTACTGAAATACTACAATTAAAATTTAAAACGCTAAAGTATTTAGGTTGTGTATTTATGCTTTGCATTGTTCTTGCTCAGTCTGTCTTTCTTGGGTGGTTCTTAAGATTCTTCTGTCTTTGAGGGTGGGAGTTGGGGTGGTGAGGAGGAATGAGTTTTTTATATATGCCTTATAGGAATGTAATGTATTAAAATGATGGTAGATATTCATTGTATAATAGTGAAGAGTTAGGCAGTTTAGAATAGTTAAATGATCCATAGTAGCTTAAGATGCTTATCTAATTTTATGTAATCAAGTTTTATAGTACAATATAGAAACCATCATCATTTCAAGTTTTCTAATCTTTTTAAAATTTATATATTGCAGTTATAGGTGTTTTGGAGTAGCAGGAAAGCAAGGGGAACACTTACTGAGGAAGAAAATGCTATAATGTATAGTTATTTACAAGCCTTTTTACAACTCGAATAACCTGTTTTATTCATACATTTTAAGGTATTTGAGATATAGAATAAATTATGAAAATATTAATTTTTAAATACATCTATTTAAAAGCATATTTGAACAAGTTTGTGTATTCCTGTCCTTAAAATTTTTGGTTTTTATTGGACAATTCTTTTATAAAAAGAACAGTCACAATCACAGAATGTTAACTTTTTGTTTCCGCTTTATTTTTAGGAGTATATGCAGGAAGAATCCAAAGAAAGAAGCCAAATGTTGTGACAATTTAAGACGACAGCACTCGCTCGGATAAAAAAAAGGCTATTTTAATGCAATAGTCTCTTCAGCATTGGTTCAGATCTTGCATCTCCTATATGTATGCTGTGAATTGACAAATGTACACATTTAACGTATTTTGCATATTTTAAGGACATACAGTAGGTTTTTATGGAATGATGTTAAACTAATGGAGAGGGCTACAAATAAGTTCAGTTCTTATACTCATGAAAACAAATTGCATGTTACAAACCTGTTAGGTATTCAGATTACTGCATACATATGTCCACATTCAAAATGCTCTGCTGTAGAGAAGAATATAGTGCAACATTGTTTATTTGTATCTTTTTGCCATCTCTGACTTATTCTTGTATATGTCATGCACTTTTTTGTACTATTGGAAATATATTTACAATTGCAGTTCATACACATTAGTCTGTATAACTGATTTCCTATATGTGTACATATTTTAGCCTTTTACCCTAAAATTAGAGAAGTAGAAAAGATAATTTATTCAACTGTAACAATACAGTGCGTTTTTCCTCTGTGTATTTGTTTGAGAACAGCATCGCTGAGTGTATCATTACATATGAGTGTGCTAACCTCTCAATTTAAATACTAATGACTGATATTGTTACACTCATTTCTATTGACTGTTTGCAGACATGGATCTGAGTTAATTGCTGGCATAAATGTGCAATTCTATTTACATGAATGAAGTCGCACCTGTTCTCACAGGTGGTGAATTTAGGCCACTATGATGAAACATTCCAGGCAATTTTTCCTCCATACTGTTCACTGCATTTTCTAATTCCAAACTACATTTTGATCAAGATGAAGTATAATTAAGATGTAGCAATTCTATGACACTGTACAAGAGTTCCAGAAGGAAAGACTTTAATTGTCCTCAGCAATCAAACAGATGACTCGTTTCACACCATTATGTGTCTTAAGGTTTTATTTTTGACATTCCTAGAACTACTTTACTGTCTAAACAAGTAACTTGGAATAGTTTTTTATAAAAAATAATACTGTCATCAGTAACAGATCCAAGCACTGAAGCCATGCTTCCATGTTCTGAGTCCCTAAAACTTTGCAAGACTTAACCTCCAAAACACATGCTCCTGTTTGCCCCTGTCGTTTTGGCTATTTCAACCATTATGAATATGCTTCTTTAAAAAGAGGCTGCTTAGTAATTTTAATCTTGATAATGAGCTTCTTTGAATCTTTCCTTGATTTTCAAATAAAATAGAGAAAATCTTGCCCCTGTGTATATTCATCCTTAAAGGCAGGTATTCAGTCAATAGCATACTTCTGTATCCCCACAGCTTTAAGGGTGGTAGAGAGGAGGACTGTTTAAATACGTACCCTTTATTTTGTTTAATGAAAATGTCAAATTTTACTGTTTCACTAGTATAAATTTGCTATAACTCTTAACTTTGGTGCAGTTAATCCAGGTGGACATTGGTATAACAGCAGACTTGACCCAAAATATTATCAATATTCATTAAATATCTCAGTATAAAAATTAAATAGGTGGAAGGAAAAATGCCTTAATACAAAAATGCATGTATGAATGAACAGAACTTGTTTGGGGATGGCCTTAAACCCACAAGTTATGTTTTGCATCTACAAATCAGTACCTTATCCTGTACCTTTTGTTGCATTATTATAAATGTTACTTATCATGCAGTATTTTAAACTGAGCCAGACATGTACTTGAAAAAGAGGCAATACTAATATGAAGAAATATTTAGAGGAGTAACAGAGTACTCAGTGGTTGTGTACTGTGGTCTTATTTGAAGGCTCTGAGGCAGATCCTCAGCTGGTGTTAATTTACACCAGCTGAAGACCTGCACCTCTCTGTTTAAACACTATTATTCTTTAGTTTCCCACCATAATACAAAGATTTATTATGATAATCTGAACTTCTTGGATTCCTAGTCATTTTCAAAACTTTATTTTTGTTCTTAAATTTTGCATTACTCTACTGTTAGTCTTTTAGAGGAAAACATTTCAGGAATAACAAAGTTAGAATGACAAGTGAAATGCATCATATTTTATTAAGAATTCTAGAGTACCTTGCACGTGGCAATGTTAGACTGACTTACTTCCTGTTGTAGGTTAGTGCTAAAATTGATTGTAGATGTTTTCTGTACTGTTAATTGGCATTTGAGGCAATACGTAAAAAGGAGGCTTAGTCTAAATATTTAAAAAATGAATGTTCAACTTTTGTTCAGGTTTCTTAACTAAACCTTTTTTACTTTAAGAATGTTTCAAAGTTTGTGTACTAAAATATCATCGCAAAATTTTTTTAACTTTCATAAGGCCTTCTTGACAAGTGCCAGAATTTTTTTGTAATTTGATATATTTTGTATTTATTTATACATATTTAATTTTCAATTCACTTTATTTTTGTGGAATGTAATGTCATTATTATGAAGTGTATTTATTTTTTGTACTTTATTTCATTTTCACCAGTCATGCCCCTTTCGTTAAATATACTGCAAAATAAACTTTTTTTAATCTTTCAATATTTGCATTTTTCTGGATTAAATAAATGCGTGAGATAAATTCAGGAGAAAGTGGACTTGAAATAATACAGGGCCAAGGGCATTCAAATTATTTTTAAATCAAAGAGTTGAAATTTAAGAAGCAGCAACATTATAGCTTCACCAATTTGATACGACACTGCTTCCACCCAGTCCTGCATTCCTTTTGCACTTAACTCCTGTGACTTCAGAGAGGATTCTGGTTGTTTAAAGAAAGCAGGATTGGACCCTTCAATTGCTGCTTGTTCTGAATGATTAATTACAAAATGTGGGAGAATGATGCAATATATATTTTATACTTAAAGCCAGAGACAAAACTTGCCTAGCTGTGTGGTATTCACGGTGAGCTTATGGGTCAGAGCCTCATCTAATGTAAATTGGTGTAGTTCCACTTATGCAAGTGAAGCTGTGTTGATTTATACCAGCTGAGAATTAGTCTGTGTAAATTCAATTGCAGAAGATGATTGCAAAAATACTCCTTTACAATTAAAATGGGAATTGACGGGCAATTACTGTGTTTATTGAATACAAATGACAGTTCCATATATGGCATTGTCTACACTGGCAAGTTTCTTCGCAGTAAAGCAGTTTTCTGCGTTGTAACTCCTGAGGTGTACACACTGCCAAGCCACTTAGTGTGCAAAAACTGCACAGTTGCAGCGCTGTAAAAAACCCACTCTGACGAGAGGTGTACAGCTTTCTGCGTTGGAGGTACAGCACTGCGGTGCCAGTGTAGACACCATGGTCAATTACAGCGCTGTATTTGGCCTCTGGGAGGTGTCCCACAATGCCTGTTCTTGCCTCTCTGGTCATTGGTTTGAACTCTACTGCCTGGCCCTCAAGTGACCAACCGTCATCCCTACTCTGTAAATTCCTTTGGAATTTTGAAAGTCCCCTTCCTGTTTGCTCAGTGATGCGTACAGTGGTCTCAGCACATCTTTCCAGGTAGCCATGCCTGTTCCATGCACCAAACGATCCCCAGCTTGGAGCAATGCCGAGCTGCTGGACCTCATCAGCATTTGGGGAGAGGAGGCTGTCCAGTCCCAGCTGTGCTCCAGCCACAGGAATTATAATACCTACGGACAGATTTCACGATGCATGACAGAAAGAGGCCATGACCAGGACACTGCAGTGCAGGGTCAAAGTGAAGGAGCTACTGAACTCCTACCACAAGGTGCGGGAGTCAAACTGCTGCTCCGGTGCTGTGCCCACGAGCTGCCGGCTCTACAAAGAGCTGGACGCAATACTCAGTGGTGACCCCACCTCCACTGCAAAGGCCACTGTGGATACTTCAATGGCTCGTGTGCCAGTCAAGAGTGGACCAAGCCAGGAGGAGGAAATCTTGGATGCGGGTGTGGAGGGGGACCCAGAGGCAGAGTACGACTCAGAGGTCAGAGATGGATGCAGCCAGGAGCTCTTTTCTACCCTGGAGGAGGGTAGCCAGTCACAGCTGTCGGATCTTGGCGAAGCATAAACAGGAGAGGAGGCCCCTGGTAAGTGGATTTGATTTTGGGAATGGCTGAAGTGAGTTGTTGGGGGCAGGAGAGTTGCATAAAGCAGGCTTGTGTCTGTATGATGTGCGAACCACCACATGCTTAGTCTGAGCAGCGGAACAGGCTGATTGACTGACTCCCTCACTTCACAGGAATCTGCCTCAGAAATTCTCCAGGAAACTCTCATGGAGATGCTGGGCAATCCACTGCTGCAGGTCCTTTGGCAGAGCTGCTTTATTTCTTGCCCCATTAACGGTAACTTTCCCATGCCACTCTGCCATTATTGGAGAGCGGGGGGACCCTTGCTGCACACAGGCGAGCCACATAAGGGCCAGGGCAGAAGCCACAGTCTTGGAGAAGACCCTCTCTTGATTCCCTGCTCACCCTCAGCAGTGTGAGATCTTCCATAGTAACACAGCCTGTGGAAAATGTGGGGACAGGAATAATTATCAGGCCACACTACAGTATTGGCTCTCCCCAAGAGCCACGTGCCCAGTGGACAGTAGGGTCTAGGAACACTGATTTACCCTGCCCCTGTGGCTACTCACCATTTTGGGGGTACTGTGGCTCATGTGTGCTTGCCTGGGGACAGCCAGTTAGTGACCAGTATGTGAATACTGGCTGTGGATCTGTGTGCTGCAAACACACATTCTGTAAAATGTGTTTTGGCTTCAGATATGACCTTGAGAGCCCAGCCTCCCTCTCTATCGCTGGCTGAATGGCTATGCAGAATTAGAAAGTGGCCACAAAGAACTGAGGAGGACTTTCTGTGTGAGGTTATGATGCACTCCGTGGCTGAAAAACAGGAATTGAAGGAGTGGCAGGGCAGCGAGAAGAGGGACCTAAAGGAGAATGCGGTGTGCCAGAATGAAGCCACGGAGCAGCTCTTAAACGTTATGGAGCACCAAGCAGACACATTCCAGGCAATACTAGCTCTTCAAACCGAGCAGCTCTGCGCGCGCCCTCCCCTACAGCCACTGTCGCAAAACTCTTTCCCATTCACCCCCCAGACACCGCCAACACACTCTTATCAACCTCCTGGCTCCAGTCTGTACCCGGGGCATTCCATTCCTCACCTGTCACAGTCCAGCACTGCGGACTCCACTACCCACTGCACACAACACCCGTCCCTCTGCAGTTTTGCCCTGCTGAAGTAGAGTACCTGCTGCACTGTACTCCAAAGGAGAAGGTTGGATATGATCCCTGGACATACCCAAATCGTTACTCATCCTGGGACACCACCTCCTCCTGTTACCTTCCCTTTCCCCATCCCCCTCAGTGCTGATGGGTTGTTGTTTTTTTTGGTCTCTCTCCTCCAGTTGTTGTTTTTAATAAAAGAATTGTGTTGGGTTGCAAGCAATCTTTATTCTATTAATTAGTAATCTTTCATGTAGGTTTTTACTTAATGTGCCATGGGAAAAAAACTGTCATTCTGAAGCTTAAACAAATGTAAGAGCAAAGAGTAAATCACAGAATTACAAAAGAGTAATTGATCAATATCTTTGTTCTATTGGGAGTTATTAGATCATTGAGGAAAAATCAGATTTGAAACCTAGATTAAAACAATTTAGCATGAAGGATTTTTTTTTCTCTTCTCCTGCTGTCCTAAATATACAGTATTGTTTAAGTAACAGAGGGGTAGCCGTGTTAGTCTGAATCTGTAAAAAGCAACAGAGGGTCCTGTGGCACCTTTAAGACTAACAGAAGTATTGGAGCATAACCTTTCGTCTGTCTGATGAAGTGGGCATTCACCCAATACTTCTGTTAGTCTTAAAGGTGCCACAGGACCCTTTCCTGCTTTTTACAGTATTGTTTAAGTGTAATATGTGGGATCCTGCAAACCTTTATGCATGTGAATAAAGTTACTTGTGTGTAAGTGTTTAGCTGTGTGTGTATTGCTCTGAAACATTAGGGATTAAATAGTTTTGCTTGTAGAATGCTGTTTTTGATGGACCAAAATACTAATCTAATATTGCAAACTCTTTATTCCTATAGAATGGAGTGTCCTACAGCTCCGATGTAAAAGGGAGGTAGGGATCTAAAAATACCTTTATCTCTGAATCTATGATTAGTCAGATTTAGAGGAGGATAAGCAGTTGTTCCAGACAAATCTGAGGGGGGAAAAAAGTCCACCATTTCATCATCAGAAAATATATTAAAGTACACCTCTACCTCGATATAATGCTGTCCTTGGGAGCCAAAAAATCTTACCGCGTTATAGGTGAAACCGCGTTATATCGAACTTGCTTTGATCCGCCGGAGTGCGCAGCTTCCCCTCTCCCCTCTCCCCCCCGGAACACTGCTTTACCACATTATATCAGAATTCGTGTTCTATCAGGTTGCGTTATACCGAGGTAGAGGTGTATGTCCCCCCCACTATAAATACACAAATTACAAAAAGCCCCAGGACATTTGTCATCCATGAACCCAATAAAACATGCTAAATAAGGACTTCTGATCAACTGGGATGGATATTACTCAATGATTTAAACATCAAAGCAAATAACCAGTTCTTTCTTTAAATTATTGGTGTTCATGAAGTTTAAATGAAAATGGCTTTAATTGTATGAGTCTTTAAAAGGCTTGATGAAAAAGTCAAGAACTGAACCTTGAAGTCCAGTAAAGAAAACAATATTGAAGGAACAGAAGATTGTGCTGGCGCATGTTAGTGGAATTTCTGTTCTAAGTAGGGAGAATTTTTAATAGTTAGAAGAGGTGTATTACGGTCTTGCAGTAGTGAGACCATAGTTAGGTTGCATCAGAATTTTCTGTTTTACATCACATCTCAGTGTCTCATCTTTTTTTCTGAACTCTTTTTTGGAAACATGCCATGGGGAATTTGAACCAAATTTCAGCCACTAATTAACGTGTGGAATGATCTCCAATGTGTGTTTTCTATTTGCATGTTGTTGGAGTTTGAGGAAACTAGAACACCAGAAAAGCCTGATTTTTTTCCCCCCACACTGCACATTTGCTGCTGTCTGAGCCCTAGCAGTGACTTCAGAGACAATGAGCCACTCATTATTCCTCCCTCTACTTTATTCATATACTTGATGAGAATCACTGTTGCCTTGGTTGTCATGGCAATGGCTGCCTTGGATAACTGATTTACCTCAGACTCCCATAACATTAGTACAAAAAGATTCCCAGGAGGAGTTGGAAGGAAAGCAAACTGTTTGCATGAGCTTCTTTGGGTTTGTATAGAGGTAAGTCGCACTGTTTCTTTTCAAAGGGTAACTGTTACTTTCCTTAAGAAAAAAGAAAGTTACATGAAAATAAGATATAAAATTCCATCTCCATTTCATGGTTTATATTTTTTCACAAACCGGAGGCTATCACTTTTTGAATATTTATCTTTTTTAAAAAAGAGAGAGATTAGAGTTGAGTCCCTAGCTAGAAGCTGCAGTAAATCTTATTTTTCAACTGCTGTGAAACCGTAACACCTTAAACAAATGTTTGATTTAAATAGCACATATTAAAAATTTTCTT